ACACCTGTGGTTGGACAAACCCGGGCTTAGGACTCATTGCAGCTGGGAAGAGCACAGGCCAGGGGAGTGTGGGCATCTCAGGAGGGTGTAAGGGACTGATCAGGCTTGGACTTGTCTCCGGTGCTTTGGGGGAGGTTTAGAGAAATGGGGCTTTAGCCTGGCCGGTGTGGCTCCGTGGATAGAGCGTTGGCCTGCGGACTAAAGAGTCCTGGGTTTGATTCCGGTCAAGGGCACGCACCTAGATTGTAGGTTTGGTTTCCAGTCCTAATCAGGACACGAGTGGGAGGCAGCCAATCGATGTGTCTCACATCAATGTTTCTCTCTCTGTCTCTTCCCCTTCCCTTTCACTCTCTCTAAAAATCAATGGAGCCCTGCCTTTGTGGCTCAGTGGTTGAAAGTTGACCTATGAACCAGGAGGTCACAGTTTGAAAGTTGTGGGTTCGATCCCCTGTAGCGGGAGTGCAGGAGGCAGACGATCAATGATTCTCTCTCACCATTGATGTTTCTATCTCCCTCTCCCTTCCTCTCTAAAATCAATAAAAATAAAAATGGGGTGGGGGGAGGAAAGAACCTAGAAGGATAAAATTAAGAGCTTTGAAAAAAAGTATTTTTTATTTTTCTTATTATTTTATTTTTAAATAATTCTTTATTGTTGAAAGTATTACATCTGTCCCCTTTTGTTCCCCCATTGACCCCTCCAGCCAGCACCCGCCCCCCTCACCCCAGACCCTCAACACCCCATTGTCTGTGTCCATGGGCCATGCACATATGCATGCAAGGTGCTTGGCTGATTACCTCCCACCCACCCACCCTCCCCCGCCTTCCATCCAAGAGATAAAAAATATATTTAAAAAAAAATCAGCAGCCCTAACCGGTTTGGCTCAGTGGACAGAGCGTCGGCCTGTGGACTCAAGGGTCCCAGGTTCAATTCCGGTCAAGGGCAGGTACCTTGGTTGCGGGCACATACCCCGTGGGGGGTGTGCAGGAGGCAGCTGATCGGTGTTTCTCTCTCATCGATAAAACTAACTCTCTATCCCTCTCCCTTCCTCTCTGTGAAAAATCAATAAAATATATTTTTTTAAAAATCAACAAAAGGAAAGGAAGAAGTGGGGCTCTGCTCTGCATCGCAGGCTTTTACTGGTTGGAGGTTTGACTTCCTTTTTTTGGAGGATCTGACAAATAAAAAGAATGTATACAACAGGAAAGAGGGGATGCGGAGTTAGTGGTGTTTTTTGTTTGTAGTTTCAGAGAGGAAGGGAGAGGGAGAGGGAGATAGAAACATCCATGATGAGAGAGAATCATTGATCGGCCGCCTCCTCCAGGCCCCAGCACACAGCCCGGGCATGTGCCCTGACCGGAATCAAACCGTACCTCCTGGTTCATAGGTTTGACCCTCCACCCCTGAGCCACGCCGGCCGGGTGGGAGTTCGTGTTTAAGGGGGACAGAGCTCTCGTTTGGCATGACAGCAAAGCCCTGGAGGTGAATGAATGGTGGAGATGACTGCACGACAGTGTGAATGCACTTAATGCCACTGAACTGGACGCTTAAAGATGATCAAAATGGCAATTGTATATTGTATGTATATTTTACCACAATAAAAAATTTATAAAAGGAAAGAAGATAAACATGAAATAAAGATATAAATGTAGTAAACCCGTCTGAGTTCATCATACCCCAATCACCTACTGAATTGGTCCTTTTTTTGAGATACAATTGACATGCAACATTATGGAAGATTAAGGGTTACAACCTATTGATCTGAATCACTTACATTGCATTGTGATGGCCATTGTCGCTAACACCCCTACGGTCTCACATCACTGTAATTTCTTCTAATCTAAACAAGATCTAGTCTCTGAACAAGTTTAATGTTTCTGGTTCAGTTTTGCTGTAACTCCTGTGCTGAGTAATGAGTCCTGGGTCTTCAGGACTCATTTACCCAGTGGGTCCCTCTTCACTAAATTTGAGCTAATTGTTGTGTTCACTGAGTTAAGGTCCCGTCAGCCGCCCCCAGCACTGAGCCCCGTCAACTGGGCTTTGGTGCAGCCAGGCTGGTACAAGGGCACAGGCCAGCCGAGTCCCCTGCCCGTGGGAAAGTAGGGCCCTGGTGCTGCAGGAAGCAGGGGAGAAGGAGCTATTATTGAGGACCTTAATTTGCACGCAGCAGTCTGAGGAGTGAAGCAGGAACCAAGCTGGGGTTGGTTAAGGAGCAGCGAGTGTGTGTCTCTGGCCGCTGTTGCTCTTGGGCAGTGCTCACGTTTCGCCTGTCAGACGACGACGAATGGCCTTATTTTGAGTTTTTCCTGTGGTCGCTGCGTGCCCTGTCCGATGAGGACTCTGCGAAAGCACCAGTGTCTGGCAGGAGCGGGAGAAGGCCAGGGCCTTGGCTGTGACTGACAGGGCAAGGGCTCAGGAAAGGCAAGGTCAAAGTCAAACAGCAGGCCAGAGCCTATTCTCTATACTCAAG